TTCACGTTACCCAGGAGAGCGGCGCTGGAGGAGCTGCAGACGTGACATCTGTCCGTTTCGGAGAAGCGAAAAAATAAATTTGTGATGGGATCAGGATTCACGGTGAATATTAACTAAACCGCAAAAATGCGACTAAATAGCCGATGTTAATATGATTATAATTTCACGGATAAAAATAGTACAGGGCCAATTTTTTTTTTTTTTTTTTATGTTGTCGGTCAAGATAACGGATAACAAAAAAAGTCTAGCGCCACCTGCCGCCCTGACACCAACTCACACACATCTTCATTCACAGTCTTACTTGTAAACCGATGTTTCTTTTCTTGGACGTTTTGATGTTAGCTTGTCGAAGTCTCAGTTTTATTCGCTGGTAAAATCAGCGAATAAAATCAGCTTAAGGTGACTCTGCTGCTCTCTAGTGGCGAGCAGCCGTAATGTTGGCTGGTAACAATCGGGATGCATTATGGGAGATGTAGTTTGTCGTCAATTCGTGCTCAAAACCTATTTTAAGTCAATCATGGACCTATAAAACGCTGGGGGGCCACATAAAATGACATGGCAGGCCACATGTGGCCCGCGGGCCTTGAGTTTGACACATGTGCCTTACAGGCTCCGTAAAATGCTGAAATGGTTTTCAGTAGAAGTAAAAAAATATATATATAAACACAGCCATGATTGACAGAATTTATTTCAAATTGTTCTATTTTATTTTATTCAAACAATGAATGAAATAAAATAAGCAGCAGCTCAGCTTTTCCTCTGCAGTTTCTCAAAAATGTTTTAAAGACTCTCCAGAGAAAACTAATAAGTACGCACAAAATGTAACCCTTTTTATGAGCAAAATTACTTTTTACGATACCACTTAATTGAAGTCTTATATGTATAATCCATGTGTGTTGAAGGAAAATGCAAATTTAGGGAAAACTGTATGGACTGGGTGAGGCTATACAATAAAGTGAAGTATGAAGAAAGAACTCTGGATCACATTATTCTTGGTTACTTATCCTGTGTCCTCCATGTGCTTTTCTAGGACAGTTCTCATAAAAAAAACTTCAGCCTTTGGAGAAAAGCAAAAATCATACCATCAACACAGGCCGGTTTGGTTCGTGTTGTTCCAGCAATCTGTCCTTTCCTGCAGGCACAGCGGACTGTCTGGCGGGCGATAGTTGTCCTGGGCTGGCTGCTGTCTCGGTCCAGAGTTACGATCTCACAGGTTCCTGCCACCAGATGACCTAGTGAGAGCATTTAAAGAGAAAATGATCTAATTACATGACATTTCAGTGGGTGCCACTTGATGTGTTCATTATTGAAGCTAGATAAAATTTTAAAACAATATTTGCAATAACATACATTTTAAGTTAATACGTAACATATCTAAGATTTATAAGTAAACAAATTTTAATTTGTTGAAAATAATATAGCTTCATTCTAAATAACTAAATTTTTCAACATTCAAAGTTCTTATTGTAACACTTGTTGTAGTCCGCGTATTTATTTTTTAAAGGTTTTTTGGCTCTAGTGACCTTTATTTGAGAGTGTTATGACAGAAGAGTAGGGAAATGAGAGAGGGAAGACATGTGGCAAAGGTCACCAGGGCCGGAATCAAGCCTGTGACGGCCGCATCTAGGACTAAGGCCTCCATATGTGGGTTGTGCTTAACCACAGCACACCTGTAAGCTAAAGTCAGTCACATTTAGCTTACAGAAAGAGCATCCCCTGGTGAAAAATAAATATACTAAGTATGTTAAATTTTAGCATACTGGTAGCGACGAATATTTACAAGCGTCTTCTTAATTCAGGATCGCTTGGAAATCCATGAAAACTTAAAAGCCCATTATATTTTGGGGCATTTCTGAATAAAGAGCACAATGTTTTTGTTTGATAGAAATGA